ATCTGCCAGCCGCCCCCCTTGGGCCACAGACGACAGCTTCTCTCAGAAGTTTGCTCCTGGCAAGAGCACCACTTCTATCAGCAAGCAGCCCCTGCCTGGAGGGACCTCTGCCTACACCCCAGGTTCCCAGGTGTCCCCCCTCGCCAGGGGCACCTTCCAGAGGGCTGAGCGCTTCCCAGCCAGCAGCCGGACTCCGCTCTGTGGCCACTGCAACAACGTCATCAGGTATGACCGGCTGTGGCCCTGTGCTGGGGTGCTGGGGGTGCGGCGGGCGCCGCTGAAGCCCTGTGGTGAGCGGGGGGACGGAGGGGGCAGGTATAGGGAGACTCCAGGCGCACACGGGGCAGCCTCAGGTCCCTCGGGGTCAGCATCAGGTCTGACCTTCTCTGAGCTGTGGCTTCCATCCCTGGTGACACCCCTTCCCTGAGGAGCTGGAGGGTGCAGTGAGGTAAGTGGGTGAAGCCCCCAGAGCGGTGCCTGTGCGGTGCCCCCTTGGGCTCAGGCCAGTCCTTGCAGCAGCAGTTGTGGGTGGGGAGGTTGGGGCCTGCTGGCTGCACGCTTGCTGGCAGTGTAGGCTGGGAGCCAGCTTTCCTTTAGGGGAGCTTTGGGGCCATCCATGGACAGGCCTGTGCGCTCAGGGCATCGGGGCACCTGCCACTCTATGAAGACAAGTCATTTCAAGCCTAGAAGCCGGGTGATGGGTGGTGCTGGTTTGAATATAGTATGTCTACAGTATTTGGTGTGTGTTTGGCGGGCGCTGAGGGGTGGCGTATTTACGTATATATGAAAAATACACTTTTATTTAAAAGTAAGGTAACACATCCTCAGAGGAGAATTAGAAAAATCAGAATGGAAATATAAAACATTTCCTCAACGTCCTACTCTTCTAACTACTAAAGTGGAGCTAGACTCCCAGGTTTGTGTCCTGGGCCCACCCTACCAGCCATTGGCCTGGAGCAACGTCACCTCTCCACGCACCGGGGTCCTTACCCCAAAGCAGGCCTGATAGCAGAACCGGCTTCGTAGGATTGCTGGGGGATGGAGTTAACAAATACAATTTCCTCTCAACTGGTGCCTGACTGGTGCCTGGCAGAGAGGAAGGCCTTGGTGAGTGTATGGCGTCAGCACCTCATTGCTCTTGTCAGCAGAATGGCTGTCCCTGTGTGAGCCGCCCCTGCTGCAGGTGTGGGAGAGGCTTCCAAGTTCCTGGGGAAGGGATGCAACAGGAACACCCTTCAAGGAGCTTCATGTGAATTTTCCATGACTTCATTAGAACAGTCACAAGTCAGGGTTGTTGGGGGGTCTCAAACGATCTGGCCTCAAGCTTTTGGGGCTTCCTTAGTAGGTGCTGTTCTCTGCTTCCCAGGGGCCCCTTCCTGGTCGCCATGGGCCGCTCCTGGCACCCAGAGGAGTTCACCTGCGCCTACTGCAAGTCCTCCCTGGCTGACGTGTGCTTCGTGGAGGAGCAGGGCGCCGTGTACTGCGAGCGGTGTTACGAGCAGTTCTTCGCCCCGATCTGTGCCAAGTGCAACACCAAGATCATGGGGGTAAGTGGGCAGACCCTTCCCTCTGGCCTTGTCTTTTCCCCAAGCGACCTCTTCCCTCCTCCGAGAAAGCCGAGAAGTGGCTTCTCACAGCGAGGGCAGCTCCACTCTGGTTCTGGAAGGAAGTTGGTTTGCCACCAACGAACTAGGGAGCCAGTGAACCTGAGACGAGAGATGAGCAGCTCCCTGGGCCACAGCTCCCAGTGGCGATGGAGCTTCTGCAAAGCAAGTTATGTCTTCACCCCCGACCTTCCCTGCACCCACACGTGGCCGTGACCCTGGGCCCCACTTTGGGAAAAGGGCTGCCACCTCCTCCAGTGAAGCCTCACAGTGAGTGAGCACGCGCAGCAGCCGGGCCCAGCCAGCGCTGCGGGAGAGGAGCCCCGTGCAGGCCTTTCCGTGGGCGGGGCCTGCTGTTTGGGGGGTGGGGGGCGCTCCCCACCGGCTCCTGGCCTGAACGAGCTCCTTCCGGCAGGAGGTGATGCACGCCCTGAGGCAGACGTGGCACACCAGCTGCTTCATCTGCGCAGCCTGCAAGAAGCCCTTCGGGAACAGCCTCTTCCACATGGAAGATGGGGAGCCCTACTGTGAGAAAGGTAGGCTGCTGTGCTGGGGTCCCCTACCCCCCATCCCGGAGAAAGGGGCAGCACAGGGACCGCCGGCAGAGGTCCAGTGGATGGAACCATCCGGAGGCTCCAAGTGGCAGCTTCGTGCCACTACTACACAAAGGCCGTTTACTACACTGTTTCCCCTGTCCCCTGGGCTGCAGCTTTCCTTGGGTGGGGGCTGCAGGGCAAGGTAGGGTCTTGTTTTGTACACATTCAACCTCTGCCCCCTTCCCTGCACCAATTATGTGGATCGCAAGTTGGCATCTTGTAGCAGCGTGGGAAACCCTTCAGATGATTTTGAGTTGGAGACGGAAGTCTAGTCTGAAAAGGCTTTGGCTCTGGACTTTATGCTGGGTTCTGTTCCAAGCTCCACCGCAGGCTGACTGTCCAACCCTGAGTGAGTTACTGAACTCCTCAGAGCCTCACTTTCCCATCTGTGAAATGGGGGAACTCAGTACCTGCCTCGCGTCCTTGCGTGAGGATTAAACAGAGAACCTGTGTAAAGCAAATCCGTGGTAGTCCGTCTCCCTGCTCCTAGTGTTCCTCCCGCCTGAACACAGAGTTTCTCTGCTTCCCAAAGGCCAGATGTTTTCTTGGAACTTGGAGTAACGTATCACAAATTCTGAAGACAAAGCACTCTATCAGAGAGGAGGGCGTCAGGCTAACTAGCCATTCACTCACTCACTCGCTCGCTCGCTCACTCATTTATTCACAGCCTGCCTCCTTCAGGAAAGGGTTTGAGGCAGGTTCCAACAAAGGCAACATAAACATGAATAAGACACTAGAAATAGAAAGTCAGTTCTAAGTAGAAGAGGGAAGAGAAGCGGGCTGGTTACGAAGAGGAACGGAACCACAGTGGCTGGGGGCACATTCGAGGGAAAAGGAGAAACACAGTAAGTTTACGTTATTTTTTAAAAATACAGTTTTATTGATTTCAGAGAGGAAAGGAGAGGGAGAGAGAGATAGAAACATCAATGATGAGAGAGAATTATGGATCGGCTGCCTCCTGCACGTCCTCCCCCCGTCCCCCGCCCCGGGGATCGAACCCGCAACACGGGCATGTGCTCCGACTGGGAATTGAACCATGACCTCCTGGTTCATAGGTGCACACTCAGCCACTGAGCCACGGCAAGGTAGTTTACTTTACAATGAGAAAAGGAAAACATTCCAGTCCCTCAAGGGGAAAAGCAAAACAAAATGAAATTTGCCCCTCTGTCAATAAATTATACAAATAATTTCTTGGATTCATATATACTGGTAAATTCTCTTTCCAGCTCTGAAGTTAATTGAATGACTTAGTTACTTAATAAGTAGTAACTCTGTGTCTCATTTTCCATATCTGTAAAAGGGAGAAGATAACATGCGTTTTTCCTCCTTATGAACATACGGTGATTCCTGGTAATTAAGTATTATTTTTCCAAATGTGTGTTGCTATTATTAGTCAGCTAAGAGCATTGCAACTTTAATAATTTGTGATGAATCACACTTTGTGTCTCAGGTTTTCGAAAAGAATGATGGATTTCACCCTCGCCCTGCCCCTCTCCATGACGAGGGGCCCTGGGCTGCTCTCACTTTTGACTCTCGGAGCACAGGTGTGCACATGGCCCCTCAGGGTCCTGCTCTCAGTTCTGTCGGGTCTGCGCCCAGAGGACTTGCTGGGTCATGTGATGGTCCTGTTTTTTCACTTTGAGGAACCTTCATCCCGTTTCCCATAGTAGTTTCTCCATTTTACTAGTATATCCCACCAACAGCGCACAGGGTTACAATTTCTCTACATTTTTGCCCACAGTTATTTTCTGATTTTTTAAAAAATATATTTTATTGATTTTTTACAGAGAGGAAGGGAGAGGGATAGAGAGTTAGAAACATCAATGAGGGAGAAACACCGATCAGCTGCCTCCTGCACATCCCCTACTGGGGATGTGCTCGCAATCAAGGTACAATCAGAAGCTCTGAGGGGTGGGGCCAGCAGTGTCTGCGGGTCTCTTGCCTCCTGTGTTAAGTCATTCCTAG